CACATATATATATATACATACATACATACACACACATATATATATACATACATACACATATACACACACACCCCATATATATATATGTATGTATGTATGTATGTATATATATATATATATATATATATATATATATATATATATATATATGTATATATATATTTATATATATATGTGTGTACCAACACACACACATACACACACACACACATATATATATATATATATTTATATATTTGAATATGATCAGAGCTTACTCTTATACTCTTTTTATGCGATGTACTGGTGTTTCGAGGGAACTGAGTAAACAATAAATGCAACCTACGCCGTTCCGCGAAGTAGTGACGTCTGAGAACATAAAACTTGTCACTAACGCACTTTTTATCGTTCGTAATAAAATGAATATGACTTTACATAAATTACACTTTGAACTTTCCCGACGAATCTCTCTTGATCTCTCTTGGATAGCGCGCAATCGTTTTAGCTGAGATTTATTCGAGAAGATTCGAAGGGAACTATTTGTCACGATATTTTCCGTTAATTTTTTATACTTATTGTGATATAAAGGAATTACGTCGTTCCGTAGCAATTTACATAAAAACAAACTGTGTTGGAGTATTACGCCGAAAGACAACTTTGTCATTATGCGTTGCAACACCGTTCGTGCGATATCACAAGAAATTTCGTCCGTTTCTGCTATATAATTCTATACCGTTATCAAATTTCAACAAGACACTCGAGATGTATCTATCTTCCTCTCTTTTCAGAATTCACTGCAACCCAAGCTGCCGCGCGAATCAAAAGGAACAGTGCGATACTAATTTCCCAACCGCAACTAATAATAAACATTCGGAATTAACATCGATAAAAAAGAAAATTAGCTCCGATGTTACGATCAATCGTTATTTAAGATCTGTAGTATTAGGCCTTCTAAGTTCAGAGCTGTTAAGTATTTCTGCAACTTTGGGCTGATTCTCTCGACGTTCATTGCTTCATCCTCGCCGTATGCGAGGATTTTTTTTACAACATCGCCATTCAGCAACAACAAGAGAAACAACGGACGTCTACTACGACATATCAACGGTGAGTCGCGAATACTTAGCGAGTTCTGTTCTAAATTCAGATGTAATAATACCTTCGTTTGAAATCTGCTTAATATTAGTAACTCGTTAACACTGTCTCGCTGGTTTCGGGATGACATTTTGGATGTGCTCTTTGATTGGAAGTCACGCTAATGACAAAGTCATTGTAAATCGATTTCGTATAACATGTACGCCATGTTATCCGACGAGCATAAAAAGAAAAAAAAAAAAGGAAAGAAAAGAGGGAGGAAGAAAGAAAGCGAATTTTCTCCAAATGATTATCTGACATATACGCACACAGAAGTCGAATGGCTAGGAGTCATCGAGCTAAAACTGATTCTAAACTAGACGTCGTTAGGGTTTACGCAGTGATATGAATGTTCTGCTTGTAATGACGAAGAACTCACTAGCATGCCGATGCATGTACCGTTTATATCTTACTAATTCCTGACGATAAGATTAGTTAATAATAAAACAAAGAGAGACGATAATATAGCCATGTAATTGCAATATGCAATTATAAGCAAATCATAAATTCCTAACAAATACATTCGATAAAAAGATTTCCTCTTCTCATTCTTTACATTCTAGTCCTTTACATCTAAGTCTTGGTGACTTATGATGGAAAAAAAAGAAAAAAAGGCGTACAATAATAGAATATAATAATATATCGATTATATAATTAACTATAACGTCCATAAAGTATTCTCTTCGCCCTTTTTTGTACATGTTTACTAAAAACACTTTTTCACTTTTTGTTGAGAAAATAAATATTAATATTAAATCTGAAATATCTCTCTCGCTCTCTCTTTCTCTCTCTCTCATGCGCGCGCACATACGTAGACATACAATACTCCCACACTTGCTAGTTCTCACGCACTCTATCTCTCTTTCACTCGTTCTCGCTTATTCATAAACGTTATCACCTTTCCATGTTATCATTTCAACTACTGTCTTTGTTTCATGTCACTAGTTACAGTTCATATTTTAGTCTAAATTGGCAAAACGATTTGCCTAGTAAGTTTATAGGCCTCTTTTTTTCTATATATGGAACATTTATCTCCGATGCCGCCCTGCTCCCTCCACAGTCCCAACCTTCGATCCGCAATGGGCATACCACACACACACGCGCAATAAACGCACGCACGCACGCACTCACCTCCTCCCCCACCCATGTATACGCACAAATGTCGGTAAGTGATTTCGCGAGAACATCATTGCCTGCCCATTTATTCTCGCACTCCCGTACGCTGTGTAACTCGAAATAACGTAAGTTGATCGCTGCTCGCAACGTTAATAGAACTTTTTAGAGGCCTGATTCAAGAGGTCACCTATGGCTACCGCTACTCTGGTCATTCATGTCGTACAGTACTTGTGCGATCGTTCTCGATGATTCGACGTTACTTAACGCCACGCCTGCCAAATGGGGCTCGTACGCTCTGAGGTGCCTGCAAGTAATCACAGTTATAAGGATTAATTCAAAGTTGCTGAGTACATTAAGATCAAACGTAAGGATGAGACGGAGAAAGAGAACGATGAAGCTTACCTTCTGCCGTGTGTTGAGTATATGACTAGGTTTCTAAGAATGAGAGCTGCCGTTAGGCGAATACTTTTGGTCACGGGACCTTCGTTGTCATCCTGCAAAAGAAAGAGAGACGGTTGACCGACAATCTATGGACCACGCACGTCTTATTACACACACACGCACACAAACACGAATGAACGACATCATTGATTGCTCAATGCTAAAAAAAAAAAGAACTTCGTGAAAAATGCATGGATATGGCACTGTAATTCCAGACTGGTATGACTTTGCACCTGCGATTGCGTTATTACAGCTATATTAATGAGTAAGAAAGCACTGCATTAATGATCACGCTCTGATACATCGATTTCTCGGCGAAAATGCGACTCGCTCGTCCTGGACAGTCGCGCGTGAATTCTATATGTCATGTCATGTCGTGTGTCGTAGTGATGGCGAATCATATCCTTGCACCTTAAGCAATATTGCAACAAAACAACGTATACGCGCACACACAAATGCACACATATTACTTTCAAAAAGAAAAATAAAGGAATGATCTGAAACGTGTTCAGGCTTATCTAGCGCATCTACTCGATAAGCACGAGTCTGGTAGCGAGTTCTTGCGGACACTGACTTGCCAGCAGTCTCCTCTTATCGTATAAGTATTGTAAGTTCGATATACACATATAGAAACAAATGCTAAGCTACGAAAAAGATAGATAACAAAAAAACAAAAGAGATGTAATGTCGAGGCAAAAATAACAAAAGATAAAAAAACATGCTACAACCAACGAAAAGAAGTAAAAAAAAAGAGAACAAATGAGGGGGTTCGGGGGACGAACACGTGATACGAGAACAAAGAGAGGATAAAAAAAGAAGCACAGAAATGCGACAAAAAAGGGCGGGGGTGGCAGCGCACAGGGGCTGTGGCTGTGTGTCGTGGTGGTGGTGGTGGTGGTAGTAGTGGTGGTGGTTCCCTTTCAACTCTGAACACATTTTTTTACCTGTTCTGGTGGAGGATTTTGCCCAGGTCTGGGGGAAGAAGTGCTTGAAGAGGTGGCTGCAGCGGGCTTGGTCGGCCTCTGCTGCTTCGCCAACAGGAGAACAAGAAATCTCGTTAAATTAGCCGTTCAATACAGATTCGCGAGGGAAACGAGGACCGTAGGGAATTTCAGAATTTTTAGAATTCGCGAAGTGCCCGAGGTACGCGGTAAGGGAAGAGAGAAAGATCGTAAGACGTCAAACTCACGTTTTTCTCGGTGTATATCGGTGTGTTGTATATATGTATTAGTTTCGTATATTACGTTATTATATTATCTATCTTTCGTAGGGGGAGGAAGTCCGCCTTTGAACTGTTTAACTGGATCCGCGCGGAATACGAAGAGAATTCGGAGCTCCGTGTTCTAAAGCGAAGCACGGAGTCGCGACGTTCCATTGAACTTACCATTAGCTCCTTAGGATTCACAAACTCTAGGGCGTGCCGTTTGATTGCGTGGAATGCGGCGTTGGGTGCGTATCCAGGATGATGCGGTGTCGGTGTGGACGTGGAGACTTCGGTCTTGCCCGTTACGGTTAATTGTTTCCTCCTCATCGACATCGTCTGCAGAATAGAGATAAGACGATCAGCCAACGGAGTCATCGAAATGAAGGCGCTAGAGACAACGAGGAGGCTACTTACGTCCGCGTTGCAGTGCCTGTCGTACAGATGCGTCATTAACGAGAACCTGCGCCTCTTGAGCGCGTCGCAGCTCGCCCATAAGCACAATATTTCCTCGCCACCGGTCGGACAATGGGCCTCGCATACGTGAAGGTAGACCTCGTGCGGTGTTTTAAATTGTCTAAAATCATTTGTTCTCGTTGATTCACGCGAAAACGAAACTCTCCGTAGAGAGATACGCGATTGTGCATGACAATCGTGCAATTTTTTAAGTCTAATATCTAAAATAATTGCAAAAGCTATTCTCATCAAAGTTCGAACTCACCGAAGACAGCCTCGCCATTCGCACAGATAAGCGTTGGGGTCGATTTTGATCGTGATGGTTTTGTTTTCCGTCACCTGCGGCGTATGTTGCTGTTGCTGACTTGTGGAGGGTTTTGACTCCAGCTCGATGGATGTCGACGAGCTCACCGTCTTCATGACCTTCGTGAGCGGCGATTTCACGGCGACGACGCCGTGGCCGGCGATCGTCTGATGCGGCGTCGCCGGTCTTGTAGGCGGTGGCGTCGACGGTGGGGTAGGCGTCACCACCCTGGACGGCAGACTGGTGGAAACCGGGGTTTGTTGCTGGGTTATCGCCGGAATCGTCACTGTTACCGTGTTTGGATTCGTCTGCGACACCACCGAGCTATTGACTATTATGGAAGCCTGCGGGATCGTCGCAGACGTAGGTACAAGGGGTGGCGGGATGTTGCTGAGCGCTGGGCTTTGCAAGATCGGCCGTTGCACCTGCGCCACTACTACCGGCTGGCCTTGCGGTGTCATAGCCACCATCTTCTGCGGAGTCGACTGCGGAGCGGTCTGCGACTGCAGTATGATGATAGTCTTGGTACCGGTGCCTTGCTGCGGTGTGGTCTGCGCTAGCAGCACAGTCTGACCCTGTCCTTGCACCAGAGCCGTTTGTGGTTGAGCTAACACGTAGTTCTGTCCTGGCATGGCGCCGGACACTACGTATTGCAGTTGTCCGCCAGCGCCTTGCTGCAACAATACTTGCGGTTGGGGCGGCGGCGGTCTACCCTTCACCGTCGTGGTGGGAATGATCATCTGATTGTTCGACTGAATTGCCGGCTGAACCACTATCTGCCTGGATGTAGCCACTATGAGTTGTTGCTGTTGCGGAGGTGGTTGAGGCGGTGGCGGTTGCGGAGGTTGCGCCTGGGTGATCTGATTGATGAATATGTGAGGGGCTTCTTCTTTGATGTGCATTGGTGGATCCTCCTTCATGAGCACCGGCGTCAACTCCGTTTTTAAGTGAAGCGGTGGAGGTGGAGGAGGAGGAGCAACTTCTTCCTTTATGACGTCTTTATTGATGCTCGGTTGTTCCTCCAGGTCTGTCTCGTCCTCTATGCAATCCGCCGCTAAAGCGGCATAGAGATTCGCCGCGGTGGACGAAACGGTGGCTTTCTCACTGTCCTTATCGTCATCCTCGGACTTGATGCTCGACACTGTCGACTCCGCCGTGGTTGAATCGACGGCGGGGTCTGGCGATATCGTGCCGTTGGAATACTTGGGCTTCTTGATTTCCAGCTCGTCCAATTCGCTGGCCGACCTCTTGATTCCTCTCGGTGCCTCTATTAGCGTGTCCTCGGACACCTCGTTCTGTATGACGTTGCCGCCTTCTACTTCGGACTTTATCTTCAGCTCAGTTGGAGATTCCTTTAATACTTTCTTGATGTGATTCTCCACCAGATCCATTTCCTTTTCGTTAATCGAGTTCTTACCGAGCACACCGTTCAATATGGGCTCTTTGTCGACTTTCCTTTCTAAAAGGTCTGCCAACATCATACTCTGCAGAGGCTTTTCTTTCGAGCTTACGCTGGACGAATCTTTGGACGAGCCATCCTCCTGCGTATCGATGTCCATATTACTCGGCGCGCCGTTGAGAAGAATACCTTCAAAACTCGTCAACGAGTTCTCTTCTTCGACGCCGACGCCGGAACAGTCTCTGCTGCCGCCGATTCCGCTACTCGACGCCAACGAGTTGTTGGTGGAGTCCGAGTCCTCGGCGATGGAAGTACACATAGTACGTTGATTCGTTTTATTTGTGATCGTGGCAGCGGCAGTTGCGGTCCCGATTACGCCCGTCGCAGTCAACGGTGGCCGGCATACTTTCGCCGGTGACGAGGATATGTGGTTCTCAGTCGAGTTCAGTACCACCGTAGTGGTGGTAGACGTGACGATTTGATTGGCATTGTCGTTATCATTTACTTCAGTCTGAAACAATAAGCATAATAACAACATAAAAATCATCAACACCAAATAGAGATCCTTTTACGAGACGCAATTTTTGAGTTCACACAGATAGAACAAAAAGGATGGAATCTACTCACACGTACCTTCTCGCAATTATTAGTCACGACGAACTTGGCTCCGTTGAGCCTCTGTATCTTTTTGGCAGGAATTGGTACGATTGCCTGTTTCTGCTTAGCGTTCACAGGAGTCTTTGGGAGTATTGTGGCTGGCGTGGCTGCGGGCGCGGCGGGCTGTAACACGCCTGTCATCTGCTGCTGCAGTAACCTTTGTTGTTGCTGGCGTTGAGCGACCTGGAAGAAACAATTCATAGTGGTTACGTTAATCGAATGAAACTCGACGATTTCTCAGACAATAAGTGTCTTTAATAAATTGATCTTTCAAAAATTTTCTTCTAATAATCGTATATATCACTTCCCGAACTCGTCGACTTATCATCGAGGAGAAGAGACGTGTATGTATATATATCTAAAAAAAAGAACAATCAAAAACCATGCTGTTGTTAGTACTGGATATCGTCATTGCTATTTTCACTTAAAATTCAGAACAGCACTCCGTTAGATATCGTTAACGGCTTTTCTTATCTTAATATATTCGTCAAGAAAGGAAGGAGGGAACGTTCTGGTCCGAGTTCATGTACTAAACAAAAACGAGAAGGAAAAACAAAAATCCAAAAACGTCAACCAACACTACATCATATATAAGCACAGACACTGACGAATAGTACAAAAACAGGAATAAAACGAGAATAATACGTGATCACTTTTCTGTGTGGAAATAGAAACGAGCATCAACTCGTGAGATATATGTCGCTGTGTGTAGCGTGTGTCGTTAACAAATTATTCACCTCGTATACGTAATAAGACAACGACGACGACGACAACGGTGATCGATATAAAAGACATATATACTTTACATAGGAGAGAAAGATTTTATCACACGAAACGTGTATATCGCCTATTCACTTAACGTAACTCGCTAAAGTGCCTCCAACGATTTCTCATTACGCGCCATCACTCGTAGAGAACGCGATCCTCACTGAGACTAACGTCGGGAGAACGATACTGAAGAGTACTCGCGACCTGAATTAGAGATAATGTACGAACGAGAAAAAAAAAAGAGAGAAAAACCAACAAAACGGACTACTTATTCTTGTTAATATACAACAATGATACCTGGTTGCTGGTTATTAGCTGGTTGGCACTGATGCTGGATGCGATGCTAGCAGTAGTGTTTGTTACGCAGGCAGTAGGGGTAGACACACAAGTCGCAGCAGCACTGGGCATGCAGTCGCTGCTGACTGTTACCTTAGTAGCCAATAGGCTCTTAATAATGGAACTCGATGTAGTGCCACTTCGATTATCTTCCTTAGCAACTACCTGGACACTTTGTGACAGTTGCTGCAGCTGCTGATGTTGCTGTTGCTGCTGCTGCTGCGGCGTTTGGGAGCCGCTGGCTAGCAACGCTTGGCTCAGGTGCGGGTGCGATACTGATACCTAATCGACAAGGAGGCAACGTACAAATTTCAACCACTACGCGGACTGGTACTGTTATATATCTCGGCATTTCGGAAAAATTACAACTTAGGCGTATGCGAGAGACACATGCTGCGGTATACAGTAGAAATATGTATATATATATATATATATATATATATATATATATATACACATTCTCTCCGTACATTAGCGTGATTATATGTCGCAGACTTTTGCGCAGTTGGAGGAAGCATTTGGCAAGCGTAGAATCGCAATATGCAACACAATGATCCCACAGAAACGACTCCGATCGATATTCTCTAACACCGCAGCGATGATTGCGAATAGAAAGTGTCGTCCTAAGTATAGGCACAGAATTCCACACGCTTTGACGTTGTAGAATAGAGAGGTAGGAACTGATAGACGAAGAATCTCACGCGGAAGATGAAAACTGATATTTCGTACTCTTACAGTCGTTCTTTTACTTATCTACATGACACACACACCCGGCGAGCTCGCGGAGCCAAGTCGAGGAGATTCACGGTGATGGCATGCAGGGTAACTCTCGCACCTGTGTTATGTTACGGCAAGGAGGAGTAGTAGTACTCGAGCTTGTGTTAGATGGGAAACCAACATTAAAAATAGCATTACGAAGCTACAACAACCAAAAGTGAGAAGAAGAACCAAGGTCACGAGCGAACGAACGAATGGCAGAGAACGGTACAGAGAGTTAGGACTCGGACCCACCTGACTTTTAGAATCAACCTTGGTCACTGGATTTGGGGACTGACTCGGGGTGTTGGACGGGGGTTTCGGCGGGGCGGACAACTGGGCCTTGAGGATCGGAGACGCGGGGGGTATGGAAATCATTTGCGTCCCGGACGCGGGATTATCGGCCGAGGCCGTGCTATCGGGTGCGGGACTAATATTCTTGACTGTACGCTGTTGAACGGGAAGCACCTTTACTGGAGTAGCGTTGATCGCCTGAACCGAGGCTGTATTAGTAGCGACCGCAGCAGTTTGGCTCGGATAAGTGATCGGTGCGGGCGTTGACCGTACTCGGATGCCTTCGTAATACTGGGTACCGGTGTTTTCGCCCTTCAACGGATTCGGCCCCACGATATTGCCGAAAACGGATCTGTAAAGAGAGAGAGAAGACGGCGTCGCATATGTATCAGCGAACGTGTGCCAGGATGATGAAGGTAAACGAAGAACATCGCGGTCTCTCGCCGCGCGATATCTCGAGAAGCAATCTCACCTGACACATCTCGGAAAGTGCAGCGGCGCTATCACACCTCGCCTACCGATCTTCGTACAGCAGCCAAGATATTTTTTGTACAACTCTTCTTGTTCGATGCGTACACCCGGCGCGAGTTCAAACGTGGCCTTCACCCAACCCAAGGCGAACTGCTCGTTCTCCTGTATAATCTGCTGATGCGCGGTCTGCTGCTGGATTGCGTTGGCCGAATCCGCTGCTGCTTCTAAACGCGTGAATAAACAGACCAGATGTTTACACGACAATGTCCACTAAACATAAGTTTTCACCTTGAAAGACATAGGAAGAAATCACGTACTGTGCGTTGCCGTCTTGGTCGAGGTCGTCGCCGGAGTCGTAGGTCGGGAAGGCGCCGGGCTGACGGGTGCTGGTGTCGTGGTAATCGTGACCGGGGTGGATGAAGTAGACGCGGACGCCGTCGTGACCGGGACGGTCGGAGTGACAGGCGCATTTTGCGCGGTGCTCTGCGGTACCGCTACCGTCGACACCGTCTCAACTACTCTCATTAGGATGCACGCCTTTGGGCCGTAACTCTGCGCCTCCACGGTGACAAGAGCGACCAACGTGTCGATGGCACCGCGTACCCGCGCGACGCTCGTACACGGTCTCTCACCCAATGAGGTTAAGGCGTACAAACATTCGAGGGTATACACTAAGAGTGCTATGTCGCTCAGAGCTAAAAATCTGCGAGGTAAAACAAAACGGTACACTCGTCAGAATTGCAGTAACGCGTGGTTTATGATGTCTTTACCGTCAGGGAGAATTCACAGCTTGGCAGAAAAGCACTAATTGGGCCTCAGGCTTTTTCCTTTTCTGCCGAGATGTGCAAGATTCGAATGAGAACATGTACGTTCGTATAATACACGAGTACTTACCGACATATAAGTTCATATATACCGTCCGCCAGGCCGAACGTGACGATTTCCTCGTTACTGTCCTGTTGGCTGATTTTGTTAAGCACCTCCAGGCAGGATATAACGATAAACCTGTCTTGAGACTCGATTCCCCGAGCCACGCACGACAACACGACGTCCGTTATCCTTTCGCCGGCTTCTTTTAGAATAATTTCATTCGCTATGTTCCCTAGTATGTCGAAGCCGAGTTGGTGCAGATTACTCCATCTTGCCCTCACACACAACAAGACGAATCTCAAGAAACACCGGTTCCTGCCCAACACCGTGGCGTTTTCCGGCGTGAAGCTGAGGTTCCGCAGAATCGACGCGATCTGCAGCACGCGTTGTCCGTACGGATCTTGCGTGCCTAATGTCCGTCCGACGCAGAACAGATCCTTGTCCTCTTCCTCGAACTTGATGGAATTTTGGTTCTGATCCTTCAGACTCTCGTCCGAATGCGATGATACGAGCGGATCCAATCGTGGACAGTCCGGAAGAACCTGGAAGCGATCACAAACGACGTTCTCAACGTCGTCTTAAGACTTGGAAAGCGGAAGAGAAGAGTAACAATTACTGGAGAACAGTTTAAGTCGAGCAGTTTAACTCGCTTCGTATTGCGGTCCGTGAAACCCCGAGGATTAAAAGTTCAAAGAGTGTCAAGACGAAAAATCGTGTCTCACCCCATCGACGTCTATCAGGGTCGGCGTTGGCGTTGGCGTTGGCGTCGTCGTCGTCGTCGTCGTCGCTGTCGGCTCCTCGTTCTCCGTTGTTGACGCGGAGCCGGCGCTGCTCTTACTCTGCTTCTCTTTCTCAAGTGTCTTCCGTCTGGAGAACGTCGGCAAGCTGGAAGGCGGCTTCTTCATAAAGGCCCTCTCGTTCGTGAGATCTATCACGTCCTGGGAGTCGAGCACGTCCGACCAGAAGGAGTTGATCGAGTAGTTGCGGACGCGCGAATACACCTCGATGAAGAGCTGCCGCGTGCCGGGCGAGTCGAATACGCCGGCGTGCGCCAGAAGAATGTTCACCAGCCTGGGGTACTTGTCGAGCCGCAGGGTATGCTTACCCTCGTTCGACAGGAGAGTGCAGACGTTGATGGCGAAGTCCTGCTCATTGGGCAGCGGCGAGAGGAGCGACAGCGCGAGCTTGTCGTAATTAGAGGGCTTATAAAGATCCGGTGAAAGTCCGTTGTACTCGCGCAGGGACTCTGAAAGCAAAAGTAAAAGAAGAGTAGACTCGGTACTTTGACTTGAAATCTTCGACTTATGATCATGAGAACGTCGTGTTGTGTTAACTAATATGAACATTGCGATTTCCACTCTGAGGTGAACCGCGAATATAGCATATCTCACTCTTGTGCAATTCTTATCGTTGAATCATCGCACAAAGTGTCGGTCCTCTTCCTAACTCTTCCTTCCGCGAGACTTGGTAAAATCACGCGGACACTCGTTAACGTTGCGCGAATTGAAATCCACTGCTGCAAACGAGATATATTTAGGACGATAACGATCGTCGCGCACGGGAACGCAAGAAAATGATAAGAATGCATATATTCAGCCGAGTGTCACCTGCGGTATACACATTCTCATTATGACTTAAGGTAACGCGATATTAACGGACGTCGTGAGGTTTACCTTGGCTGTGTAGACGCGAAGGTCGCGCGAGCGTTCACGTGCCCACGCTAGAAGCTCTCGATGACGACGACGACGACGACGATGGTTTTTCAAGCATCGACGTGGAACAATTTGCTACGGGCGCGCAATTAAGATAATTAAGAAGCGCTGTGCGCGGCTATTATCGCGTCGGCTACTTAAAATGATTGAAACGAGACGCGTTCCAGAAGATAAAAGAAATGTAGGAGGAAAGAAGAAGCGACAACACAGAGATTGTCGGCGAGTCTCGAGCTCTCTTCACAATGCCGACGTGCTCTCGCTTTCTCCCCTCTCTTTGTCTCTTCGCAGCTCTCTTTCCGTAAGTGTCAAAGCTAACAAAACCGACCGGCTGTATCTTATCTGAGAGTCGATATACGTAGCAGCGTGTTGCGCATTTCTACGAGAGCGTTCCTGTCCCACGACGAACGCGGCGGTGTGGTATGTGACGATTAAAATAATCTCTCGTCCGCAACGTTTCTTAACGTTGCGAACGCGACTCAGTATCGGGCGATCGTCGTCACGGATTTGTCACACAGCCAATCCGACCCTGTCACGCCCGGCGATGGCTCATTGAGGCAGGTCACGGCTGGTTGATGCAACAAGAAAGCGGGAGCTCTAGTACCACGGGCAATAACGCATCGGAAACCTTCCGCACGACGAGGACCTGCGTCTAACTGCCTGCTCGCACCAAGTCGATTTTTTCTTCTGTAGCGGCGTATATATATTTCAATGTGCGTGTTCACACGATATTGTCGATTCGGCAAAATTGCCGATAGTCAAAAACTGTAACGCGCGAACGAGCTGTAACGACTTTACACCGAATGATATACACGCTAAAAAATAGAATCATCAAATAAGATATAATAATCTTATACATACGAGTATACACTGTATATGTGGGTTCATAAAAGTAAGCTTTATCAAAATTGACAAGCTTAGCACTTGTGTTGATAAAAATGAATCAACCCCAATGATATTCGGCATGGAAATAGACGTCGCAAATACTTGGCTTAAGCACAGATAAACGGCGATAAACGCGCAAACAATTGGAGCAATAATCGGCCAGGAATTGCGAAAAATATCTGACGACCTCGTTAGAGTGGAGCGACAGATGGAAGGAGAAAGAGAGAGAGAAAGAGAGAATGACTCGACCTCGAGAAACGTGCGATCGCCAAAGTACGTAAATCACTAACGAAGTAATAATAAGCGTGAAAAGCGAGGCCGACGCGAAAACGGTTATCGGTCATCGTCGGGCCGCGAGGGGAGAGTGCGGATTGTGCTTATCGGTGCGCGGATATCTCGAGTCGCACTATCTGTAATAGTAGAGCCGACTACTAATCCCCGCAACGACCGATTTCCATACAACGGCTGTTTTATTCCGCTCGACGACGTCTCCCGTCGAGTTTCATTATCAAGCAATCGTTCGCTCCTTCGTTAGCTGGCTGGCTGGCTGACTGACTGACTGACTCGCTCGCTCTCTCCGACGATAAAGTAGCCGGCGAGGGTTACTCGACCGACGTTGAAAAAGACAGATTATCTGTCCATTTACTTTTAGCGAGCCGCTTCCATCCCAGCGTGTCGCGGCGGCGTACGATCAATTATCGTGCGCGCATCGAGGTCGAATGTCCGAGACGATGCCGCGCGCGCTCTGTACCAGTAAGGTGATCGACTCATTCTCGATGCACCGCAAGTAGGTTGTGTGTGCTCTCTCGGTCAAGGTTGACTTTCTATACGAGGGGGGAGGGGAGGGAGCCTCGAGACATTCCGCGCGGCTGAGGTGTCGCGCGCTAGAGCTTGCTTCGGCTTTCCGCTTCTTCTCCCGAGCTGGGAAAGCCTCCTCCGCGTTTCCGGAATTTCCACGAGCAAACCATGGCGAAAGACGGTCTCAGGATCTGGTATCATTTATTATCGTTGTCACGATATAGTTTTCCTTGAGATTTTTTACCCTCTTCTTTCGATGATAATGAGAGATTCGCGCGAGCAATTTAAGACGGCGATGGCGGCGGCGGCGAGGATCGATCCGACGAGATCGGTAATCGCACACGCGCACCAGTCTTCGCAACGTCTTCGAGGCGATATCGCTTCCACCTGCGCCCGGAGCGCGGGAGGACTTTAGCGGGGAGAGTTGCCTTATCGGGAGCTCGGAATACATGGCTCTCTACAAGGCGCGACGTTATCGCGGATCGCGGTAATCTTTTCAGCCGCGAAACCGCGATCAATATCGTGTCCCAGGAGAAGTGTCGAGTTTCGCCGGAAACCGGGCGAGGTGGGAACACGGAGGAGGCAGACCGACGACCGGTAACGGCGGCGGTGGTGAAGAAGAAAGGAGATACGCGCGCGACGGCGGACGGAGAGAAAGAGAGACAGGACAAGAAGAGGAGGATCCCAAGGAGCTGCGAGGGCTCGTTAATAAAATCACGGTTCGTCAATGATGCTGCGAAGTGGCGACTATCGATTTCATTTCAAGTCGAAAGTGTTTTCTCGAGGGACGGCGAGGAGTGGCGAGGAAAGCTTTCTCACGAAAAGCACGATAAACAACGACGGAAAAGAGCTCCTCCTCGTGGGTGGCGCGTGGACACGAGGGGCTTCTCGTTAATTTCGCTCGTCGCGAGGTAGTGGGCGCTTCTTGCGAAAGCCCATCGGACTTTTGACCGTATTTCTGTTGTCGCAGCAACGAGGGTCAATGCGCGTCGTTCGATCGAAGTGCCTGTCAGTACTCTCCACCACCTTCCATTGGGTAATCGTCTGAGCCCGCGTTCCTTAAAATGAACTCCTCCTTTGTGAACCAATGAAGTAATCATTCGGCGATCCAACGAACTTCTGCGAGGTTTTGATACATTTCAGTAATGTTCCAAGCGATTGTCGCGTATACCCCACCGAGCTCGAGAGTTGTGTGTATCCGCTCGGGGCGCGTCGATTTCCAGTCTCTCTCTGCTGTTTCGCTCGTCGATTTTCAAAAACCACCGACGTACAAAAATTCGCTGGACTCTGCGCCATGCAAAATTACACCTACGTTCTATGAGAAATAACACACATATACACACACAAACACACACACACACACACACACACATACATACGCGCCCATGCAGTTACGTATACTTCACATCGGCCGAAATTCGAATGATATTCCACGCGATAAAGCGAGACGATTGATTCGCATTGACGAATGTTAGCGGAGCTATTTACACAGGCCGCCTGTGTGATAAAAGCAATATACGGCTGACAATGTCATCGTATGACATCGTGTTTCCCCGTATTCAATCAATTCGAACTCAACCGCGTCAGAGTCAAACGGCTCTATGATTAAATACCGATAAATATGCGATACAATACGCACAGAGGGAGGCCCGATCGATCGCCACTTGTAACCACCATGGGGCAAAGAATTAACCCCTGGCCATTATCGCTCTTTCGCTCTTCGTTACTGTCGATTCACAGTACAAAAAACCCAGCGAAACTCGAAAAACTCGGGAAATGCACGCGAATAAATGCAAAAATATATAGAAAGAGAGAAAAAGAGAAAGAGAAGGAGAGATAGAGAGGGAGAGAGAGAGGGAGAGAGAGAGAGAGAGAGAGAGAGAGAGAGAGAGAGAGAGAGAGAGAGAGAGAGAGAGAGAGCATACAGACCTTCCACCCTTTGCCTCGGGCGCGATTTCATTTTGCCATAAATTATCCATTGAATCCCTCCTAAGTGAACCGCTCTCTTCATCGCGGAAACGACTGACATTTATTCTCGGCGCTAGAGAAAGAGGAGAGGGAGCTCTCAGGGCGCAACATTCGCATGGGTTAAAACGAACGGGGTGGCGCGCGGGCCCCGTGGCGTTAATTGGCATTGCAGTCCGCCGTTGACAAGCGCGTCGCGGACGAGGCACGAGGCGCGCGCAGTGCGACGGAACGCGTCGATGCGCTGGTGGCACGCGGTGGCCCAGACATCACCGCGTCAATCGTCGCGGACGCCCGCACCCGAACCGCACAGGTGGGACGACTCTCTCTCTCTCTCTATCTCTTTCTCTCTCTCTCTCTCTCTCTCTCTCTCGGCCGGCAATCGGGGGAGGCCACCCTCGCGCGTCGCCCTGACGACGTCGCTCCGTCCGCGTCTCGGGAGCTCTTTGCCAGTTTTCCACGTCGCGTCAACGCCGACGCCACGTTGATTCGACATTGGAGGGGGCGCGAAAAGACGTTCTTTCCAGAATACCTGACACAGCTGCCGCCCACGCCACGATCCTTTCCCGAACAAATGTCACTCCAAATTTTTATCTCGTATTAATTATCTCGAATTAAATCCCACGATCGTATCTAAAGATACGATCTCTCTTTTTTTGCGATATCTGTGTGACTCGAAATTTGACGCTGCGATATCGCGAGCCCTGTATAGGCGTTGGCGCAGCTTTCAGTTCTTTTTTTGTTTCTTTTTTATCGATATTCGGGACTCGAAATTTGACGTCGCGAAATAGCGAAGCCACTGTGTGTGTATCGCGCGCGTATGTGTGTGTGTGTGTGTGTGTGTGTAGGCGTTGGCGCAGCTTTCCCTTCTTTTTCGTTCTTTTTTCTCCAGGACGACCATCCCTAATCTAGCGCACGGCACACAACACACACAGCCGGGATCGTGGGGTGAGCTCTCGCTCGCTCGAGTCGCGGCGAACATCACGCAAGCGCAGCGTTATACCGGGACGATCAAGAACCGACGGAACACTTATCCCCGCAAACGCTTATTGATTGTGACGCGCGCCTCGTCGCACGTCTCGCTCTCGCTCTGTTTGTCCATCTACCTTTCCCCGCCGACGATTCTCTGTCTTCTCTCTCTCTCTCTCTCTCTCTCTCTCTCTCTCTCTCTCTCTCTCTCGTTTATTTTTCTCTTTTCTCCTCGCATCGGCACGCACGCACGTGTCGAGAGTCAATTTGTGCGATGCAATCTACGATTTCGATTTGATCTGCAATTTTAATATTCATAGAGCTGCGATTTTCAGCTTCGTCTCTCCTCCGTCTCTCTCTCTCTCTCTCTCTCTGATAATCTACAATCTGAACAACCATTCGTGTCAGATAAGAGCAGGAATGGAAAATCGTTTTAGAAAAGGGGGATATGGCGTATATCACGAAAAACGAAAATAACGATATGTCAAGAGGATGAGATTTAATGGCCACGCATTACGAATGCCCGACGAGTGGTTTAACACTCTTGTCACGCAATCCCCGGCGTGTCTCTGTGTGCGATAAGTCGCGTGTTCGCGTGCGCCGAACAGAAAAGAACAGAACGAAATGTTACGGTACGTGGACAAGCAATTGGGAGCTCTTCGAGCGGTCAATGAGACGTTGATCTTCGTGAGACCACGATTCTTCCTGTACGGAGGGGCAGCTTCGAAACCGTCCGTTTCCCCCTCTTACTCAAGACGACCGTTAAATTAATAATGGGAAATAACCGAGCCGCTGATTTCATTCTTAGAACGTCGCAAACGGTAACGTCATCGTCGTTTCTCATCGCGATGACTAATAACATCGCTTTCAAAGATCCTAATGTCACACGTCATTTACACGTGTCATTCGTGACAATTAAAGTCTGTGTCTTACACGACGACACACCTGACGCATGGGAAATACCCCATGATGTCAGAAAGAGCGAGTTATCCCCACCAAATACCAACACGCCGTGAAGACATCGTACAACGTTACAAGATACATCGCTAACAACCTGTAACGTTCCACCATCACTCGATGCAGCGTGCAGTCGCGTTAACCGGCGACGAAGCGCCAACGATTGAGCGGAAAACGATCGCGGCATCGATCGGACGTGCGCCGGGGATGAATCGCGCCGAAAAAGAGACGAAAAGAAAGAGAGAGAGAGAAAAACTGGGAGCTCTTCCCGCCAGGGCGCCTTCGCTGTGACCCGGTTCCGGGGTGAGCATCGCGCGCACGGCGGCGGCCACCACCACCACCACCCACCACCATTACCACCACTGCTACTACTACTACTACCGCTGCCAACCGCACGCGACTTGCGCGGGAGCTCGCGCGCGACGCGGCGGGTCTAGAGTTGTGCCAGCAACTAAGAACCCCGGGGGTAAATTAACAATCGTTAACGTACGTAGATATCGGTAAGCGTCATTTTCGCGCCCCCTCTCGCGATGGATCTCTCGCACCCTGGACGCACCACCACCTCCCTCTTTCTCCTGCCCCCTGCCAGCCGCCGTCCTCCCTGCCCTCGCGCTATCATCCAGTTACCCCAGAGCTTCTGTGCGGGCGGTCGGACACGCTCGTGGAGAGACTGCCGCATGCGGCCGGTGCGCATGTGCGCCAAGTATAGACCCGCGACGCGTTCCGCCAGTTGTCCGCGCGCGGACCCGGTGTATGTATGCGCTCGTTTCATGCTGCCACTCCCCCCCCCCCCCCCCCCCC